CTGTGACAGTGCCACGGCACCGGTGAGCAAGGAAGTGGTGAGCGCTGGGGGAAGTGCAGGTCTGGGCTCGTGGCTGGCCCCACAGTGCAGTCCCTCTCTGTGCTCAGAGCAGCTGCAGTCCCTGTTCCCTCCCCAGCGTTAGAGCCCATGGGAACGATTATCCCATGGGTTTTTGCTGCCGGGATGGGACCTTGGCTGCCCTTGAAGGATGCGGCTGCTTCCCCATGCTGTGACCTGCCCTTCCTCTGTGGTGGCGGTGTCACTGCCCTGTGCTTTCCGAGGGACCCCTCGTGCTTTCCAAGGGACCCCTCGTGTTTTCTGAGGGACCCGTCGTGCCGTGGCCGTGCAGGCTGCTCGTGAGGCATCGCGTCTGCTGAGGGCTTTGGGGCTGCTCTGTCCTTGTCCCCGCTGTCACCTTCAGGTCAGGGTGAGCTGCAGCCGCCCAAATGGGGTGTCCAGAGGGCTGAACGCTGCCCGGCTCGGCTCTCTTCAGGCTGTGGCAGTGAGGTTGGAGGGTTTTCCTCTCCCTAGAGTGCAGCATTGCTGCTTATCCTGGTTTATCAGGGGTGAGAGGGACCCTGTGTTTGCCAGACCTGTGCTGAGTCACCTGCAGTAACATCCAGGCTGCGTTTGGGTCTGGAGGGGCTGACCTGGGACCCTGGTGTGGCCCCATCCTCCTCCGTGCGGTGGGAGCGGTGCTGAGGCGTCTCCTCTCTCTCTCTGCTTCCAGCTGGGGGTGATGCCATGGCCGCTGCCAGCTCCAGCAGGGCCAGGGCCGGGCCTCCCTGTGAGAAGTCCCCGCTGTCCATTAAAGGTGGGTCCCGTGGTGGGGAGCGTGGGTTTCGGGTGCCTCTGGTCTGGGTGTGTGCTCTGCCGGGGAAGGCCAGCGCTGCCCTGCGCCCCATGGATGATGTACCAGGATGCGGGGCGGCCGTGGGCTGGGCTTTGCCATCGGGGACGTGGCTCCATGGCCACGAGGTGGCCCCCGTCCCCCGGAGCTGCG